AGGTATAACCAGCTTTGTGCGTGGGCTCCCCAATGATGAGACAGGATAGATGGTGTTGTTGCGCCCATCTATCGATTTCCTCTCGTTGTCCGTGGATTCGAGTGGTGCTCGGTTGCCAGGCCCAGTAAACTGAGTTGAAGTCCCCCGCCGCAACAGAATTTGGCGGTGGATTCAAGTTGATGAGGGGCTGCACAGCCTGTAGGTCGTTGGGCGCTTTGTAGACGTTGAGAATCATGATTCCATTAACCACGACCCAGCAATAGTCCGCCGTAGGCATGGCACAGGGAAAGACCTGTGTTGCAATTATTTCGCTGCTGTATTTCCGAGTGTAAGTCACCGCTCTCGGCCTAGACTGATCCTCACCATGGGGAATATGGCAATCATATCCCGGATGAGTCTTTGTTGACTTGCTCTGTTTTTTCCACAGATGTTCCTGTACAAGTAATACATCGACTCCCAGCTCAAAAGCTCGGGCGAGCGCGATTTCCTGTGTCGGGCCTCCCCTTCCTTCATTTATCGACATGAAATTTAAGGTAGGAGAGAGACAAAAAGGGGCCCGTGTGGCGCCCTTTATAAGCTTTCTTCACGATTCATGTCCTCTGTAACCTTGGTTATAGAAGGCGATTAATCGGTCATCAGCACTTCGAAGTAGTTGCTGGACTTGAAGCTCGTCTGAGCTATTTCTACCTTTTCAGAGGCTGCTGAAACTGCGGCTTCAGCGCGTCTGACAGCTGATTTTGCTCGTACAACTGCAGCAAATTCCCGTTGACTTGCCTGCCTGATTACCTCGAGGTTCTCTTTGGATGCTGGTCCAGACTTTGTAGGACGAGCTAGACAGTCGCGACTGTCCGATCGGTGGGGGCCCCCACAGTTGTGACACTTTATATGTGCCTTACACTCTGCGGAGGAGTGCATTGTTGACGTGCAGTTCCAGCAGACTGGGGCACGTGAGCAACCTCGAGTGCCGTGGAATTGCAGGCTTCGTTTGCACTGGCTTATTGCCTGTTTAGGCTTGTGGCGAACTGCAATTCCAGAGTCGTCAAAAAGTCGGAAGCCCGGCCGAGGGGCAGACGCCCTCTCGAAGTGAGCTATCCAAGTTTGGTAGGGAGCTCCTACTCGCCCCTTTCCTAGTGGACGGACGCGTACCGGAACCGCTTTGGTGGTTCGAGTGATTTCTGATGCCACCATCTCCTCAGTGACTGTGACCTTGCCCATAAGTGTGTATAGGGCCACTGGAACCGTTGCGATTAGAAGGGCAGCCAGATCCGAGGCTGTCTCCAGTTTAGCTTCAACCCTGCTGAATGATTCAGCAGCGTTTAAGAGAAGCTGGCGTGCTTCTTCGTTTTTGGCTTTCATTGCGAAACCGGTGGGAACACGATACACATGTTCAATATTAGAGGATGAAACCTCCACCAATTTGGTCACGGCATCTCTCACGCCAGGCGTATACCCTGTGTTAGCGTTGTTTACTACCGTAATAGGAGATCCCGCACGGGCTATTTATTGGGATTAAAAGGGGTCATGTACATCTGCTAAGTAGAGTAGTCGAATTGACATCCTTTTGTCCTTCATTGTTGCATAAGCTTCCCTCTACCTGTCAGTTAACGAACTGGTTGGATAGTGCGGTGGTACATAGTCTTGGCCGGTCTGCCAAGCAGAGTCTGGATAGCTTCAACACATATCCCACTCGAGACAGTAGATCGCAGGTTCAAATCCGGCAAAACAAAACCTCATTTCTCGCGGCGCTGGTATGCATGGATGACGAAGGCATGTTTGGATAACCAAAGGTTGTGAAATTCCCTTTAGTAGGTACTTACGGAGGAGGGTCAACTGTTTCTTTAAGCAAGCAAACCTCGTAGTGGTATTTGCGAATGAAATCCAGAGTATGAGTGTCACTAACGTCAAAAGAGTCATCCCACATGTATATATAGCACCAGTCATGTGTCATAGCTAGATAGCTGCATACTCATCAAATAATTTAAAAAAAAAAAAGTTCACGAACTGGGTAGTGGTTTACTCATTTCAATAGCCCAGGTAGATGGCAAATTAGAAATAATAAATTGCTCCTGACAACTTGTTGCCTACGCAGGATAAATTTTGCAAAATTGAGAGCCCCCAAATCTCGAGCTGGAGGATGCAGCTTCATACGACTAGGGTTGCGCTGTTAAATCGTAAATGAAAAGCTTTAAAAACTTTGGTCTTGATGGCTGTAGAACCCAGTGCTGATCCCTAAACAGTCGGTTTCTTCATCATTTTTCTATGTGTAGATTTCAGTAATGAGCTTGGCTCGAGCGGATGTACCATTTTAAATTTTCTCTCGTACATTGTATGAAGTAAAGGATCTAAGGTAAACATCCTGACTACCAACAATGGTGTAGCGTTCGCCTAGACATATCGTGTAGTAGTTATAGCGAGACAGGTCAATTATTTCCCAATAATTATTATTAATTTATTTTATTATCCTTTCTAAGCCTATAACTATGTATGACATGCAGGTCTTTTCTGTCTACAGGCCAAGGATACCTATATCAGTAGTGTATCCCATCCTATGTCTCCCATACAGCTCCCCTCAAATAGTATCACCCCTCACAAGTCCTCATTCGATTATACTCTTAGAGGAGCCCGTCGCCCTTCATTATCTGCCCTCTCCAGCCAACGAAACGATGGCCATTTGCTGGTGTATGCAGCCAGGAAAGATCGCAAAAATCACTGGGTGCGGAGCTCTCCTAATACCGACATTAGGAATAAATCCGAAGACATAGTGACCCTTCTGAAGCGTTCGAAGAGGCCAGCCAGCTGAGCGCTGCAGACTTGTGAGTACCTCGGGAAATCCACTCTCTGCCTTTCTAGCCTCCTTCAAACTCCTTTCCAAAGGTCGTGCTGAAATGTCAGAAAAGTCTTGACAGAGCGTGATTGCTGTATAGTAGCTTAGCCTGACTTCTTATGTACCGTCCAGAGCGCTGGGGAGTGCCGTTGACTCATCGACAAAAGAAGCCCTCCTGGCTAGTTAACCAAAATCTCGGTCTCGGCGCCCACAAACAATCCAAAGTTGAAAACCCCTCCAAAATGTCAATCCCAACATAGTCTTCAGAGACCTGTTCCCTTTATCGCTCCACATCTCAGCCGCCTGTCCCCCCTAAAGCTGTATAACATCATTAGAGCATTATTCGCTCATAAACCAAGACTCCAACTTTGTATGGTATGACTTAATTTCCTCCTTGCGGATATACGTAGCGTCGTAAATTTGTAGTGAGTGAAGGCCGGTAATCGATGAGGCGAGCTCCTGTCTGCAATTGGGATGACGCTTTTATCGGTCGGTGAGGCGAGGTGACGTGTGGTTAGAAAGAGGTTGAGGACTCAGAATGTAATAGTGAGTGCTGCATGATTGAGAAGTCGTCAAATGGAGATACGGATGAGTTTGTTTTCGACTTTGATTCGTATGCGATTCTTCTTGGCTATCCCAGATATGCACAGCATACTGAGCGATTACACCGGCACCACTGGAAGGTGAAGAATTCGTCTTTGCTGGCATTACCTTCCGATAAGTAAGGCCGGAAAATGAACTTGGATTTTTAAATTTTATCAGGATACAAATAGGGGACATTGTCACCTAATCTATTGAAAGATATATATACTCTTACGGTTAGTTAATCTTGCTGGCAAAGGGAACAAACTGACATTAGATATTGCTCTCCCAATTCAGATACCCGGTAGCTTGGGATTTGAGAAGGAAACGGCATTTTAGTGAGCAGCCGCGGGTATTAGCATTATCATTATGTTTACTACTGCTGCTATTAATATCTACTAACTAATATGAAAATATTTAGTGGCTTCAGCTCTTTAGCTACCCTGTAGTGGCTGCCACGTAATAATTCTCAGTCATCACCCAAAATTTTACTTGCCAGCCTACCAAATGCAGGTACCTCATACCTGTCAAGTGTAGCCGCTGGAAATCTGTCAGAAATCTATGTACCTGAAGTAAATTTTAGCACAGGCTTACCATCTCTGTGTGCTCTTCGGGTGAGAAAGGCAATAAGTATTATATCTACGAAAAGAAGCAGCCAACTTAGAAAGTTTGACCACGAAAAAAGGAGATGCGCCACACCAAGCGCTGTAAACACTAATGCGGACTGGCAGGCATGGAATCTTGCGGCTAGTTAGCTTTGGACGTAATTGACATGAAAATGATGACACACCTCACATAGTCACTTTGTTGCTCGAAAATGAGAAGCAGAAACCCACCGACTGGTGGTAGAAGTAGGTACGCTAAACACGCCTCATAATCAAGCCGAATAGGTAGACTTGTCTCGAACTCATGAAATCGATTACGCCCGCTTTCTTCATCGGACCACTTTACTCGTGACTGAAGGCTCTCGTTGTTATTGCATCCGCAGATTATATTTTCATCATTTTGGCGCAAGGCATCTCCTGATTTTGATTTCGCAGATCCTTCAGGCGAGTTCGGGTTCTGTAAATGAGGAGAATTAGATTGTCGGATTTGAGATAAAGAGGGAGAGAGAACACGATTGATATCGGGAGAAACGTCTTGAAACGGTGCAAAGTTCATGAGGTTCCAAGAGCAAGTTTGTACTGTCACTACGATACCGTTTATATCTGGCTTGAAAGGATGAATTTTTGTGGCCTAGTCGACCATGGACATGATCAGACTAGTGAATGTGTGGCGCATGTCAAGGTAATTTCTGTAGATCATTATTATATTGATATTACTTATTAACGTCTGTTTTACGACTCGTCTACAAGGATTGCATGTTGCACGCCAGGACTCCTAATAACTAGTAAACCAAGGTGCGCCAAGCGTTCATTTCGTGCCCATCGACTCCTAAGTGAACAACCATTCATAAACTCTTCTCCCCAGGTTCACTTTTATACCTGTCGTTAATTCCGATAAATCTTACATTGACGGTATTCATGAAGCTGAGTATATCAGGCCACCAATCCTTAGCACATCATTTATTTTGAATACTGAAGTAAGATACATATCATCGAAATTCCATGGCTGCGAAACATGCGCGATCTTCAACATGCTTTAGTTCAAGCTGTTGAAATCTGCCATTAAATTATTAGCTTGTATCACTAAATCTATAAGTTCAAGTGAATGCTCACTTCTCACTTTTGGCATGAAAATATATGCCACTAACTGTACCCTGGATTTGGTTAAAGCAAATGTAATAAAATCCCTCGAAACTTGCACCATTGATAGTTTTAACCCTGTGATCTGGGACAAGAAAGTGTTCCTTCCATCTCATGAAAATATTCTCTCGTTGAGTGAGATGAGGAATACAAAGGTTTCCCTTCTTGGCTTTTTTAGAAAATGGTCTAAATGAAGAAAATTTTGCCCAGTGCGTGAGGTCAACTTTATCATTGGATCCCCAATCTCGGTGCTGCGTTAAGAATGTATATTTTGAACCAATTATCTCGCCTTCAAAATACGTAGTGAGTGTAGGGTGATCTTCGGTAAGCCCTAGCATAATTAATACAGGCAATCGTGGTGTTTGCACACTCTGGTTTCGTACCCTGAATTCGCAAGTATCCGCAAAGGAAGGATTCTCGCATGTCAACATGTTTTATCTCGACTTGTACATCATAAACTTGACGTTCAGACTGCTGAGTACCCTTGAATCGACTGCCTGCACGCAAGAAACAACAGGGAGATAAAGGAATAAGCTTCATATCTTTAGCTCATGTACTTTGAAGAAATGAGAGGCTAGACTTACACGTTTACTTGAAAAATCATGACCTATCGGGGGAAAGATTGTTCCTAGATTTGGTGAATCGTAGTCATCTAATTCTCCCTGGCGCTCTCCTTCGTTACCACTTGCGAACGATCTGTTACTGGGACGCCCAAGGTCGTCCTCTACTTGTATAAGTGTTGATTCTATTGTCGGAGTATTTTGTGAATCTGTGATTATTGTGTCAACTAAAGAGGCCACGTGTGATCCTGCGACTGGTGTCGAGTTTTGCGAATCTCTTAATGATGTTATGGTTGATGTGTTTTGAGGTTCCATCTCAGAAAACCTCCAATTAACCCTGTCATCCTCAGGTGGACACGAGTGGTGAGAAGGTACGGTTGTGTGATATCTAGATCTCGAAGGAGTTGGCATAATCACTCCGGCTCCGATCTGACTTCGCGTATGCAGCGGGATGCCTGGATAACGTGATAAATGAATATTTAGAATACGTGGGTATGTTTACAATGGGAGCCTGCCATAGATTGACTGAGGAATAGTCTTTCGCTGGACCTTAGTAACTTGTAATCATTCCAGCAAGACACAAGCGAATTGAAAGTTGTAGATCTCACCTTAGCTTATATCATGTCCCGACTGTGCGCAACTGCGCCATGATTGTTAAATACAGCTTTAATAGTTAACAGGAATTATGTAGGCGATGTGACAATGACGGGTTGTAAGGTCACGCGTCACACAATCATGACTCGCAGCGCTGGTCAGAGTTACGCAGATAAAGGAGATATGATTGTAGATCTAACTATCATCATTGGTGATGGCTGTAGCAGAACAAACAATCCTTCTGTCAGGGATGTGATATTGCCGAGGTTGTATAATCAGGTAATTAACCATACATTAATGTCTATATAATTATCCGAGCAACGCCATACTCCTGCCCTCACTGATCAATCATGTAACCATTCAAATTGGTTTGATCTTGAAGTGAAGTGATATCAGCGAAAATACTAGAGCTTTTAAATCTTGAACAAGATAGTAGAACACCCTGAGACCTTCAGGATCTTGAGAATCAGTAACATCGACCAGTGACCCGATTTTAGCAGTCTATGGGGTTATGTTAGTGGAATCTTTACAGTTCAGTCAGAAGCCATCACCTCAAAAGAAATGTGCTCGCTACCCAACCTGATTTCCAGTTCTTGCCGTCCGTCTTTATTTTTTTGTGGCCATTTGCTATCATCTTCTCTGGTATAGTAAGCCAACAGTTAAGTCACGTACAGGAATTGCTATTTTTTTACTTCATGATTTCACTGGTTTTGATAATTCGTTTTATCTCATCGACCATAAGAGAACTGACACACACTGGAGGTTCAATTTATCAACGCTAGTTTCCAAGAAAATGATTATTGACGTACTTTCTTTCCGGATTAATGAGTCATTCCGGTAATTTGAATTGTTTGCATATCTAGCTGATGCACTTTTACCATCACTGAGGACTCGAAAGTCGAACTCTATTTTAGTATCAGCCGAATCACAGAAGCAACAAATCGAATATTTCACCGAGAAATTCATGACCGTGTCGGCCCTGGTGGCCCGAACTGCACGTAAGATATAGTCAATGTTAATAGATTGCGTGATAGAGCCTTACTAGTATCGAATGTAAAATGGTTCTGATGACACGGACATCCTTTTGTTGTGAATAGCAACTGTAAAAAAAGTAGGCCCGAGAATTGAGTTTAGGTTGTTCTGCCTATGAAGCTCTACGGCCGCCTGTCCACACCTTTAGCGCGGCCACTCAAGCCAAGTGGACAGCTACTTCATTAGGTACCTGGCTAAACACCATTGAATTATAACAAGCCAACGCGTCGTGATCTTGATGCGAAGGAGCCATTATTTGTCTCATGTTTTACAGTACACGTATATCTCAATTAATTCACCTGGTTAACGGCAAGTAATTACGACCAACCCCTCGTTTCTGAACTAATTGACATCATCCACAATAACTTGTCTCTCCGCTTGCTGCGAAAGCTACACTACTCCAGATGGCTTCCTTTCTAGACTATTCATATAGCTTGGTGCACCAGGACAACTCAGCAGATGTGCCTACTATGTCTGAGTTGCGCACGGCGCTAGAGAAAGGGAGTGACGAGAGTAAAGTGGAAACTATGAAGCGTATACTCACAGTCATGCTTAATGGAGATCCTATGCCCCAATTATTGATGCATATAATTCGATTTGTTATGCCTTCAAAGCACAAAGCGTTGAAGAAGTTATTGTACTTCTATTACGAAATATGTCCTAAACTCGATACTAGCGGAAAGCTGAAGCAAGAAATGATACTCGTCTGGTACAAGCCTCCGCGGACGTAATTAAGAATGCTGCGCTAATATATCTCAGCAATGGAATCCGAAATGACCTTCAGCATCCTAATGAATATATCCGGGGAAACACGCTACGTTTTCTTTGCAAACTTCGGGAGCCTGAACTAATTGAACCGCTCCTTTCTTCTGCACGCTCATGTCTAGAGCATCGCCACGCATACGTACGAAAGAATGCTGTATTCGCCGTTGCCTCTATATATCAACATTCAGAATCATTAATTCCTGATGCACCTGATTTGATATACTCTTTCCTAGAAGCCGAAAGTGATCACACTTGTAAGAGAAACGCTTTTGCTGCACTCGTAAGCGTGAGCCATGAAAAAGCTCTAGCATACCTTAGTAACGTATTCGATAATATACCTAACTCTGATGAACTTTTGCAATTGGTCGAACTGGAGTTTATTCGCAAGGACGCAATTCAGAACTCTCAGAACAAGGCTCGCTATCTACGCATCATATTCGATCTTCTCGATGCTGGTGCCACTACTGTTGTGTATGAGGCTGCCTCGTCGCTGACAGCTATAACCAATAACCCTGTAGCAGTGAAGGCGGCAGCATCCAAATTTATTGAATTAAGCATCAAGGAGGCGGATAACAATGTAAAACTTATCGTCCTAGATCGTGTTGACAATCTTCGACAAAAAAACGAGGGCATCTTGGATGACCTAATAATGGAAATTTTAAGAGTTTTATCAAGTCCGGACATTGACGTTCGCAAAAAGGCGCTCGAAATATCACTCGAAATGATTTCAAGTAAAAATGTCGAAGAGGTTGTTCTTCTACTCAAAAAAGAACTTTCTAAAACTGTCGATCAAGAATATGAAAAAAATGATGAGTATAGGCAACTACTCATACTTGCCATTCATCAATGTGCAATCAAGTTTTCTGAAGTGGCAGCTAGTGTCGTTGGGCTTTTGATGGATTTTATCTCGGATTTCAAAAATTCCTCGGCAGTTAGTGTTATATCTTTTGTTAAGGAAGTTGTTGAAAGATTTCCTAATCTTCGTCCCTCTATTGTGGAACGTCTGGTTGCAACATTGAGTGAAGTAAGAGCGGGAAAAGTGTATCGAGGTGTTTTATGGATTGTAGGGGAATACTCTTTAGAGGCTAGTGATATTAGGGACGCTTGGAAAAAAATACGAGCTAGCTTAGGAGAAATACCGATCTTAGCATCAGAGCAACGACTCTTAGACGAAGCCACCAAAACACAAGAGTCATCAAAAGAGGACGAGCACTCAAATGGAAATTCAAGAACTACAAGCACTGGAACTCGAAGAGTATTAGCAGACGGCACATATGCCACTGAAAATGCTTTAACTAGTCAATCAGCTGTAGCAGCAAAGCTGGAAGCAGTCAAGGCCGCCCAGAAGCCTCCTCTCCGACAGCTTATTCTTGATGGGGACTATTATCTAGCATCCGCGCTCTCTTCTACCTTGACTAAACTCGTAATGCGCCACTCGGAAATTTCATCAGACCAAGCTCGAACAAATGCTTTACGAGCTGAAGCAATGTTGATCATGATTTCTATCATTCGTGTTGGACAGTCACAATTTGCTAAGGCACCCATAGATGAAGACTCCGTAGACAGAATTATGACATGTGTCAAATCACTGTCAGAACTTGCACATCACAAAGAACTAGAAAAGGTGTTTCTCGAGGATACTCGAAAAGCGTTCCGTACCATGGTACAGGTTGAGGAAAAGAAGCGAGCAGCTAAAGAAGCTTCTGAAAAAGCGAAAACTGCCGTCCAGGTTGATGATATCTTCCAAATAAGACAACTCGCCAGAAAAAATGTTGGTGACCAGTCTGATGAAATTGAGCTGGACCTTGAAAAGGCGACTGGCGGTGACTCAACTGTGGAAGATCTGTCTTCGAAGCTAAGCCGTATAGTACAACTCACAGGATTTTCAGATCCGGTTTATGCAGAGGCTTACGTTAAAGTGCATCAATTTGATATCGTTCTCGACGTGCTTTTGGTTAACCAGACCACAGAAACACTTCAGAATCTCTCGGTTGAGTTTGCAACGCTTGGAGATCTCAAGGTCGTTGAGCGGCCGACGACTCAGAACCTGGGGCCCCATGATTTCCAAAACGTTCAGTCTACTATTAAGGTGTCTTCGACCGACACTGGTGTAATATTCGGTAATGTTGTATATGACGGCGCAAGCTCAACAGAGAATAATGTAGTTATACTGAATGATGTCCATGTTGATATCATGGACTATATCCAGCCTGCAATTTGCACAGAAACCCAATTTCGAACAATGTGGACAGAATTTGAATGGGAAAATAAAGTTAACATCAATTCAAAAGCTAAAACATTGCGCGAATTTCTTTCCCATCTAATGGCCTGTACAAACATGAGCTGTCTTACTCCCGAAGCTTCGATGAAGGGTGACTGCCAATTTCTCAGTGCTAACCTTTATGCTCGAAGTGTCTTTGGTAAGCTCATAATAACTGAAAAACAATACATGCTAATATTAAAACCCAGGTGAGGATGCGCTAGCCAATTTAAGCATTGAACAAGAGGGTGAGGATGGACCAGTGACGGGATTTGTGAGAATCAGAAGTAGGTCACAAGGACTAGCTCTCTCGCTAGGAAGTTTGAAAGGTCTCACCAAATTTGGAGAGGTTGTCTGATAACTTGTGGAATTAAAAAGAGGTCAGAAATTAGAGCCCATCCCAACTCGACAATTGAATACTTTAAGTCCTATTCAAGATTCTTATGGAAGAATAGCCAAGGGCAAGGGGCATACAAACAAATAAGAAAACCTGTACAGTATATTTTGAAGCGGTACTGCGATGCAAGGTACCGGCAGATGTGTACGTCAAGTTCGGAGTGACATTTTAGGGAAGAAAAAGGAGTCATTTAAATCTGGCGCAATGCGAACACGATTTTTTATTATGTGTCTCGGACTTTCAAGCACTAGCTATTTAGAATGGGCTAATCACTTCACAATATTTCAAATACCCTATAGATCGGTACCTATTAGCCCACATCGTGTACTAATCATTAAATTGTAAGTTTTTCAACACCGTCAGAGCCATACCCATGTTCCTTCCAGCTTCATTGCGCACAAAAGTCAGTAGATTCGTGGAACACCTGGGCATATAATGAGGAAATTTTGTTTTGTTTAACATCTGAAAACCAAAAAAGCGCAAAACTACGATACAAATTGAAGTTACACATTATTAGACAGACGATTAAGTCGTTACTACTCAAAGCCTCATCAGAAAATGGGACATAATCCCTGTGACAGGCTATAGCTTTCGTCCAATGTTCATAAGCAATGCCGCAATTAACTGCTTATATTTTCTATGGAGAATTTAAGAGCAGGAGGCCACGGCGCTTTGTAACGGTAATGCCTATCCCAGATACCCTGGACCTTCACATGTGACCTGATAATACTCCCATCAACAAAGATTTATAAACTCTCTTGCCCAGATTCTTCGAAGTAACTCGGCTTCGACACTAAACTATATTCTATTCTTCTGATACCTGACAGTCTTTATTATTAGGTAATTAGTACAGGTGATAGATAATTTTCCTGTAAGCATATGTAAAAATCTTCTGTACCTTTCTGAAAATCAAAATTCTCAGTGGAAGAGCATTTTTGACACCTATTCATAGTTCAAAGCGCACTTCAGAGTGGCCTTTGCCAATGGGTTACATGTTGAGCTTTATTTAATAGCGCTGGCACTTCGGGTAGTTTACATAGAAGCTGCTCAACACAAGACCTTACTGTCGCGTGGTGAGCAGGCACGACATAAGCATGAACCCTGTAGCCATATACAGCCCTGCCACAACCAACTGGGCCGGAAGGCAAAACTGAGCACCTGTACGCGGTGTCCACTACGAACCTGGGAGTAAAATACGTCCCAGAGCCAAGTTCAGTCAAATTTCGCAATATTGAACAAGTTGGCCCACGAGACAATGATTTAACTTACTCCACCACCACAATTTTTCACTCCCAAAGAGCCCGACTCATACCTAAGCTTCATCAAGTTTACAAGTACGATCTAGTACATCCTCACTCCAATGACCATACCTCTTGTCGACTTTCTCTGGCTTCAGCTGGTCACTAAATATACGCCCACGCCGATATTTATACCCGACGGAGGACACAAAGCGTGGCGCACAAATCTGGGAGACAGTTCATTGGGATTGGCGTGAGATGATTAAGGACAAGTTAACAAGATGATGCGAAGGAAGGATACAATCTCGACGGGCGTGGAATTTTGAATTTTGGCAAGAAGTTTCTATAAATTGAGCTTTTTGCGTGCCAAGACCTCGGTTGCGAGATTGCAGGCGACACTTTAAACACCGCTGTGGCTGGAAGATGCGGTAGTACATCGTCTTGGCCGGTCTATCAAGTAGAGTCTGGATAGCTTGGACAAATAACCCACTCGAGATAGTAGATCGCTGGTTCAAATCCGGCGAAACACAACCACTTATCTCGTGGCGCTGGTATGCATGGATGACGAAGGCATGCTTGGATAACCAAAGGTTTCGAAACGGATCTTTGGTGGGTATTTACTGAGGAGGGACGACTATTTGCTTACGCAAACACACCTCGTAGTGGTATTTGCAAATGAAATACAGAGTAAAAGTGTCTCTGACGTCAAAAGAGTCATCCATGAAAACACAGCATCGCTCATGTGTCATAGCTAAATATCTAACTACACATGAAATAATAATAAAAAACCCCCCAACTTGGCCTAGCCCATAACAGATGGATTGTGTTTATCGCAGAGTAAGCACTGGCTCTATTGAAAAAGGTTGATACATGTATACATATCGCGTACTTGACTCCTGAATAAGAAGATACTTTCATATATATTCACAATGCCTTGACACTAACCTTACAAGGGCCCAAAGCAGTCTAGCGATTCAAATACGAAGTGAGAAAATGGGGCTCAACTCGTATTTATACAGAAGAAAAGTACCCGGAGTCTAAAGTCCAAGTTGTCCATGTAGCTACCAATCGCAGAACCCCAAGCACACGATTATGTCCTGCCCTCGAGGGTCAAGTGGAAGAGGAGAGATCTGGAGACAAGCGAAAGATCGGTCCTACGAAGCTATGCTAAGCAATCCTGGAGATATCAAAAGGATAACACAGTGGATCCTAAATCATAGTTGGATAGAGCAGTTCCAGATGACAAAGGCGGTCGAAATGCTGCAAAGGGAAAGTAACAGGTTATTCATTTTCTTGAGGTCGATAAAGCTGATAGGATTGGGTTATATGGAGGGCACTAAAGTGTAACTGCGCTTCCTAAAGGATACATTATAAAAACATAGAAATTAAGCACGAAGGTTTGGGGGGTTTTCACCAAAAAGTTTCCTCCCATGTAAATTAGAAAGTATGATACACACCTGCATGGGCCCATGGGTAGCCAAATCGGGTTAAATGAAATCAAATTCAAATGCCTTGACACTATCTGCAATTTTGACGCCTATTTAAATTAACCTGAGCGCCCAATTTATTAGTCCTTTCGTTTATTTATTTTTAAATGACAGGCCAATTTATTTCTCGTCTTTTTGACAAATAAAGGCTTAGATCTGTATTCAGAATAATTATTATCAGAGAGTATGCAACGTAAAATGATAATCTTAATAGTATTTAGCCACAATGTTACAAATTATGATTTAGTCAAACTAAGCCAATCTAGAAGTCATCCCAAATACACAAGCATTTATGTCTTATATTTGCCTTGACAATAATATGTTACCCACATCGGTTGGAAATTGAAGAGGTTGACTGAATTCCAGAAAATTTATTCGCCTAGCATATTTGGCACAAGTGGAGTGGTGCCTAAAACGAGGTCATGCCGTATTAGAGAAAATTCAATGCCAGAGAACGCTTTGCGTGCCGAGAGAGTGCGAAAAGCGGAGGGCAAGACTGAACACCTGTACGCGGTGTCCTCTACGAACCTGGGAGTGAAATATTCTCCCAGAGCCAAGTTCAGTCAAATTTCGCAATATCAAAGAAGTTGGCCCACGAGGCAAAAATTCAAATTACTACACCATGTCAATCTTTCACTCCCAAAGAGTCCGATTCTCAACTAAGCTTCATCAAGTCTACAAGTACGACCTAGTACATCCTCGTTTCAATGACCACACCTCTCGTCGACTTTCTCTGGCCTCAGCCGGTCACCAAATACACGCCCACGCCGATATTTATACCCGACGGAGGAAGCAAAGCGTGGAGCACAATTTTGGGAGATAGCTCTTTGGGACGGACGTGAGAGGGATCAGGACAAGTTTACAAGATGATGCAGAAGAGGGATACATTCTCGACGGGCGTGAAATTTCGAATTTTGGAAAGAGTTTTACGAATTGAGCTTTGTGCGCGCCAAGACTTCGCTTGCGAGAGTGCAGCTGACACTATAAACACAAGCCAACGATGGAAGGTGTTGTGGTCCGCCTCCTGGTGGTGTTCTCTGGTATGGTTTGAGTAGCATGGGCACCTACTCCACTTGGGAAGGAGACATCTCAGATTACATTTCGCGCGGAGAAAAGTTGATGGATGACGGAGGCATGTCTGGATAACTCAGGGTTTTTGAGACGTTCCCCTGGGTGGGTATTCACGGATGAGGGTTGACTTGGGGTGAAGAAAAAGCCACCATAACTTCGCAGTGGTATTTGCAAATGAAATCTGAGGCATGAGTGCTCCTATTGTAAACTGAGTCATCTTTTCTGTACTTTTCTTTGATATTGTGTCATAGCTAGAGAGCTGCATACGCAATTAAAATCTGATGCAAAAAAAAAAAAAAAAAAAAAAAAAAAGAGTGCGAAAAGCTGCATATCCACTAAAATTGATCTAATTGATATGATAGTTTAATTCGAATTCTTTAGATGTGTGTGCTTAAGGCAGTAGCTTCCTAGTACTCTTAGAGATATAGAATATCAATCACGCGGCAATGAAATATTTTTTGACGTTACTAGTTGAAAGTATCATCTCCACAACAACTGTACAGGCAATCGGAATACGTAAATTGTAATAGTAGCCTTAATAGACTCCATGTATATAGTGTATCGAATGATAAAGATTCTACTGTAGCGGATCTCTTTCTTTGATACAGCATGTCTAGCTTTGAACCTGACATACAAAGCTTGCTTGAATTTTAAACCAATAGGCATAGCACTAGATTTTCTCATTTAAAACCTCCCTTTATAATTTTTTGCAAATGAAAAGCTCTGCGGTGGTTCTTTTTATCTGCCTCTTCCCTGCTCAGTCCCTAGGTTTTTGTCTGTACAATGATGGAAATATGCAGAGTAAAAGGGGTTAGTGAGAGATTACGTATGCTATCTTTCGATAGAGCTATATAGGGCAATGGTCTCGAATATAAACTAGTTTCAGCTACGCTAGTCAGGTCTTTTTTGCGTTATTGAGCTGTAGTCAACAATCTTCATCACTAGTGTCCCCAAATATAGCTTTAAACACTTCCTCTCCGGCTCTTCTTGCCTCTAATGCTTCGTTCTTACCAGCATCGACAATAATATTTTCATCTTTTGACGTATTTTTAAAAGATTCGACCTCAACAAAGCTTTCCGAAATCGAGTGATTGTCATGTGAGTAGGATGTAGAAACTGTACTCTTTAAAGTATTCTTAGATATCAATCCTGGCCCTGAGAGTTGTGACGTATTTTTTCCCGCTATTTCAGTATCGCAAGGCTGTACGTGAGCAGGGGGGTTGACATTGAACCTTTTGCAAAGCAGGCGAGTAGGTGACCATTCCTTGGAGCTACGCGTAAGAGGCCCATACATAGATAGCTTAGCAGCCTGCTCAGCAGGGTCATCGAGCTTGCTTCTATCTCTGCACAGGGGGGTATTAGAGCCAGAATTTACCTGTGGTACGGTAGCTGATGAGACGAAGCGAGAAGCCATCGTAGTAGAAATAGGCTTAAATATTTGAGCGCAATTTGAGAATTCGCGCAGTTCCTTGAGCCAGTCTTCAGAAGACATGCTTGGGATTTTGGAAGGGAGTGATTTATTGAGACCAGATTGATATTCAAGGTACAGACGGTATCTGCTTCGCTTTTCTTCATCGCCACCATAAGGCATAAAGCCGTTTGCACCACGACTCAAGGCAGCGTCAGCAGTAGGCTTGTCTAATTTTGGAACTTGAGAGAGTAATTCTTTCTGACGTTCTTCTATGGACATACTATACTCTTTAGGTATCTCGCCCAGTGCTTTCGGAAGATTGTCTTTCCCTGAGGCAGCAGCCACTCGGTCACGAGCTGCTGGAGAAAGAAAGTCAAAAACTGATTTTCCTGGAAGTTCTACCTCTCCTAGGATTGAAGCCCTCGATTTATGATTAAGTTTACACAATTTGGCTGCGTCGGCTGTCGATAAATATTTAATATTAGCAACTTTTTCCATAGATCGCTTAGGTTTCCAGTCCTTAGGTACTTCAGGTAGCTTATACTTGCTTGGAAATGAAACAAGAGAGGAAGTATCACCTCCACTACCTATAATAAATCCATCTAAAGGTAAACGCCCATCATGACATTTCTGTAATGTTGATCCCTTGAATAAGTTTGCTTTTTTAGGTATATACACCGGTTTTGATACTAATCTTGGGGTGCAAGCAAACTTTTGCGACTTCTTTTTCGTTTTTTTTTCTCCTCGGATGATACGACTGTACGATATTTGTGGCCCAACTTCATATGGATCTTCATCGTCTGATCCTGTGTCATTTAGGATCCCAACACCAAAACCCTTGTTCGCGGGCTGTTTTTTTACAATGTTAGACTCGTGAAAACTCATAATTACGTTCTCTTCATCAGACAGTGCCGTCGGAGATTGACATCTTTTACTGTTCTGTATGCTTAAATCTTTGGAATATCCTAAACCGAACCGATCCTTCTTTTTCACTAGTTTGATCAGAGGCGTATTTTCTGGCGCAAAAAGGTGCATTGCACCACTGTTTTCCTCCACTGAATTATGATCATCTAATCGGGCCGTACGCCTCACTCTTGGACCAATTCCTTGCCCTTCTTTCCATCCCATCTTTTTGAGCAGTTTCACTCCTATAGTTTCTCCAGCCACCCGTATTAGGTCTACAAATGCATCTTTCCTCAGATTATCGTCAATGGTTGAAGCAAAGCCGGAATATCCTACTGCGGTCTCTACCCTTCGTGAATCTTCCGCATCCCTGATATCCTCTTCGTCCATAAAATCTTCTGGTCTTTGGAAGTCAGAATTCGAGGCATCTTTTTTCCGGTTTGAACGTGTTGAAATGAACGTTGAAGGAGTCCAGCCCTCTTTAGATCCAACTGTATTGAAATAACTAAGTAACGTGTTTGTCAATAAGTGCTAGCTAACAAAGAAATTTTTAAATTCTTACCCGGCACTGAACCCTCCAGTAAAGGCCCCGTGAAGACGTTTTAAGCCTCTCTCGTCCCTAACCTCTTGTTTCCACACGGGAACAAATAAACCACCGTCTCGGACATCTCCGTCACGGGGGGGTAGTGGCGTCCCATATATTGTGAAAGGTGATTGTTGAGTTTGTAGGTCGGCTTCATATTTCCCACGGGATCTTTTGTGACTCATAGTTTTAAAACGATAAAAACTTGTATATTTTTGCCCCTCAAACTTCTGAGATATCTTTGTTTAAATGTTTGCTGATAAAGATCTAGGCTTGGCCCTGACGCATTAGACTCAATTATAAAGCTATGAGAACTGCAGCTTTCCAGACAATTTATTCGTGCTCTGCCACGACAAGCAACTTATCCCAACCTATGTCTCTTGGACGCGGCAATCATCGCTCGCAATTTCGGTTTAGCCTTTTAGTTTCAGTTGCCCGGATCCTCCTCATAAAACGTAGAACAAAGTCTAAGCATTTGTTAACAGTGGCCTTTGATAACTTAGACAGGAATAATTATTAAGGACCCCAGATTCACTTGCGGAGCTTGCAGGTTTGAAAGTTTTTTGACGAGATAGCTGTAGGTACGAAATCTTTGACTTACTCTTAATCGAGACCACGCCCGGGATTGATTCCATAATTGGGCAATTCCACGACTTTCAGGCAATCCCTGTACACAATTATTTAAAGGCTTAAGCCCTTCTCAAATTCTTTTATTCTGATTATTGACATTCATCTACATGGAGGATAAAGGCTGAACACCTGTCAGCGGCGCTCTCTACGAACCTGGAAATGAAATATTCTCCAAACCCCGAGACTCAGTCATGAACAAGGGTGGGATGGATTTTATTAGATAGATTATCGGCTTTTTTTAATTTACATCCTATTTGAGTCTATGACTATTGAAAATAGATTGTCGGCTTAAAGGAGTCGTAATTGGTATTTTGGTCGGAAAACTAGTCGATAGAGATTTCACAACCGCAGAAAAGTCGAACGACATTTATCACCACTAAAATACGATTCACGAAAGGACCAAGTCTTTCTGATGGTCGTATTCAAGCAACCGAAGTCTCTCTGGCTCCTTTTACATTTGCGACGAAGCATTTCTCAGTCGGTCCTACACCTGCGAGCCACCTTTACACTCATCATATCACCTAGCTGCACACGCCCTAATGAGGAAAGTCATGATGGAAACCGAACTTGTACAAAGGAGGAAGATAAATGGAATATACACCGAGTGGATCAGACTTTTGCGCAGGAGTTCAGATCTCTAACGATGACAATAACCAACGCTACCATATTAAGGAGCAAGACTAGAACAACGATGAGATCTAGGACGACATTAATATTTCGGATTCAATTAGGATATCAAGGGCCCAGTTGCGAGGTGGCCGGGGCTGAGGAGGAATCTACGCTGCGGCGTATGTACAGTGGGTTACTTGACGGTCAGGCTTGTTATGATTCAACGCATAGGTGAAGTCTGAGATGTTTCAACGTTTATTTTAATTATATACTAGTTAAGCTGATGCAGCCTGGCCTCACTCGAGCTCAATCACTCATAAGAGTGCAGAGAATACCAATTTCCAAGCACGTTAATAAATTGAAAAACAAACAGACACCCATCTATATTCTTATATCATCTACAGGAGCCGTCAAAGACGAAATCCATACCTTCCAGTGGTACCGACGTAACTGCTCAGTATGCACTGCATATCTAGGGCAGCCGGGAAAGATTGCAACCGAATCGAAGTCGAAAGCAACTTCAAGCACATTTAAAATCCACGACTTCTCGTCAATGTTGGACTTCGTTTTACTCAGTGGAGAATCTTAAAATCTAACTTTTGCGGCACTAGGGAGAGTAGTTAAAATGCGGGCTCAAGAACTCGTGAAAGAGTGGTGGCAGAAGTTTCGGCCGGAACGGTACAAAGATCTAGACCTCTTCATGCGCTGCAAACAGCCATCTGAACTGGCTCTACCAAGATGGGCGTATCACCGTCTAATTGAGGCAAGAACTGGCCACGAAGACTACGCCGACTACCATCGACGTTTCAACCACGAACATGAATATCTGAAATGCATTTGCGGCCAAGAGAAAAGGCCCTGGAAATTTTCAGAGTGCCCACCTGCTTTGCTATGTTGGAGAAGCTGTGAGAAATTGGCCCCGCCTGGAGTCAAGGAGATTATTCAGGACAAGGGATGGCAGAAGTTTTTCCAATTCTTAACTACAGGTAGATGTTACAGTCTGCCGAAGAATGAACAGGGTGTGAGGTTAACACGCTGAGATGGTTTCCAACTCGGGAGGGGATGTGCTTGGAAGATAGAGATGCAGCGCAGGGCACTGTAACTCAGGCATTTATTGTTCCTTTTTATTTCTTTTGTCGCTTCTGGCTTTAATGCCAGTAATGTAGGTAGCAATGAGCTCTTAGAGTCCAACTACCCGTGTCACGTCTAAATTGATGTTAAGTTCTTCCTATCACGTAAAATATTTCAAATTCAAATGCCGGACCTATTTTTCTCAAACGAGCTCTCTACCTAAATCTTACTAAACCATCTCCCTTCAAATACCGGTAAAGGAGTCACTAAAATTGCAATCGGAAATTTGCCTTTCCGAAAATCGGCCATTTCCCACTACAAAGGTATGATGCTATATATACCTGCAAGAAAAAACAATATCAAAATGTATAAATCTCGGGTCTTGTTTCATGGGAGATCATTATTCTCATGGAGATTCACATCTTGAATATAATTATTATTGTAAAACTTAGAGAGAATTTCGTGTGAATGTCATGTGCATTGTCAAAAGGTAAAAGCAAATACGAGAATGAATAATTCATTTCTCCGCACTATAAGTCAATTGGAGACTCCACTTGGGAAGGAGACGCCCAAGACCATATTTTACGCGGAGAAAAGTTAATAGATGATGGATGTATGTCTGTATAACTGAGGGGTTTTGAGACGTTCCCCTGGGTGGGTATTCATAGATGAGGGTTGACTTGGGGTGAAGAAAATGCCACCATAACTTCTAAGTGGTACCTGCAAATGAAATCCGTGGCATGAGTGCTCTAGTTGTAATTGAGTCGTCTATTATACACTTCTCTGTTATAGTGTCATAGCTGGATTGTTCGGATTAAGTCCTGGTCAACGATGTCTAGCCTAATTGTGCTATGTTGCAGGCAATTTTTACAATTATTCATGGGGTCATCATCAGGGTTGTGAACAGTTTCGGTTTGGTATGTGTTGTTAGATTGATACCTGAGCGTGTCCCATAGTAATCAGATATGCGACTTGAGTAGCATATGCACGGTAAACCTCAACCCCAAAATGATGATACGATTCAGGTTTTATATGCTACGTCCTGTATGGCTAGCGTGGTTGGAATATGGGGAATTTACCTTTAGATAGACAAAGACATTGTAGCCCTCTGATAGTTGGGACAAGTCTTCTATAATATTTTATCGGAATCAATACTAGCCTCTCATTAAGCAATCTCATGAATTATTTCCAATGTCTGTGATAACAGACACCCATATACAATGTCGACAACAACTTTAAAGTCGATAAGTTGTGAGCCCGGAAACCGTTGATAACAAGTTTAAAGTCAATAATAGATAGCTGCATACGCAATTAAAATCTGATGCGAAAAAAATCCTTGCCCTCCTATGCAGGCCTTTTTTTTCATTTTATTGTCCTTCCTGAGTCTATGACTATGTACGACATGCAGGTCCTCTTTGCCTACAGGCCAAGGATATCTATACCAGTAGTGTATCCCATCCTATGTGTCCCATCCTATGTGTCCCATCCTATGTGTCCCATACAGCTCCCCTCAAATAGTACCACCCCTCACAAGTCCTCATTCGATTATACTCTTAGAGGAGCCCGTCGCCCTTCATTATCTGCCCTCTCCAGCCAACGAAACGATGGCCATTTGCTGGTGTATGCAGCCAGGAAAGATCGCAAAAATCACTGGGTGCGGAGCTCTCCTAATACCGACATTAGGAATAAATCCGAAGACATAGTGACCCTTCTGAAGCGTTCGAAGAGGCCAGCCAGCTGAGCGCTGCAGACTTGTGAGTACCTCGGGAAATCCACTCTCTGCCTTTCTAGCCTCCTTCAAACTCCTTTCCAAAGGTCGTGCTGAAATGTCAGAAAAGTCTTGACAGAGCGTGATTGCTGTATAGTAGCTTAGCCTGACTTCTTATGTACCGTCCAGAGCGCTGGGGAGTGCCGTTGACTCATCGACAAAAGAAGCCCTCCTGGCTAGTTAACCAAAATCTCGGTCTCGGCGCCCACAAACAATCCAAAGTTGAAAACCCCTCCAAAATGTCAATCCCAACATAGTCTTCAGAGACCTGTTCCCTTTATCGCTCCACATCTCAGCCGCCTGTCCCCCCTAAAGCTGTATAACATCATTAGAGCATTATTCGCTCATAAACCAAGACTCCAACTTTGTATGGTATGACTTAATTTCCTCCTTGCGGATATACGTAGCGTCGTAAATTTGTAGTGAGTGAAGGCCGGTAATCGATGAGGCGAGCTCCTGTCTGCAATTGGGATGACGCTTTTATCGGTCGGTGAGGCGAGGTGACGTGTGGTTAGAAAGAGGTTGAGGACTCAGAATGTAATAGTGAGTGCTGCATGATTGAGAAGTCGTCAAATGGAGATACGGATGTGTTTGTTTTCGACTTTGATTCGTATGCGATTCTTCTTGGCTATCCCAGATATGCACAGCATACTGAGCGATTACACCAGCACCACTGGAAGGTGAATAACTCATCTTTGCCACTCACTGTAAAGCTGCAAATGGCGTTCGATTCATTGCTTGGACAAGGGATAATGAAGTGGAGAGGGCTAACCAGAGTTAACGGTCGAGGAAGGGCATGCAGAGGGTGGTATTACTGGAGCGGTGTTGGCAAGGCAAACATGAGGAAATTTTACGCAAGCCACAGATATTCGCTATGGATCGGCAGGAAATACACAATTTGTTCTACCCAGTCAACAATTGAAAGAGAATGTCCTATATAGTCATAGACGCAGACAGGACAATAAAGTGAATTAAACTAAAAAATCGAAAACTAAAATTTGGAAGAGATAGAAAAAGAAAAAGAGAATTATAATGGTAATACAGCATGATGCTGAGTTCAAAAGACTTTCCTTTCTTTTATGTTAGAAAAGTGGAGTTAGAATAGATTGTAGAGTTTCGCGCGGCGACATGGAATGAGAGGGAGAAAAAGGGGATTTATCCCCTGGTCGAATTCTTAATATTGTTTAACTAAGATTCCCTTTTTGTCTAGATCCAGTTCCTCTCCATGCGAAGTCGGGAATATATTGAACATGCACATGCAGCATGTATCATTTATCGGTTATTTCTCAAAGTGGAACCTCTATGACCGTCCTAAGACCGAATGTTAGTGAACCAAGTATATTTGAATTTGGCGATAGAATTTATTGGCAATGTAGACTCAGGCTGGCTGAACCTGTCACTCGATTTATCAATAGCTAGCTGGAGTACTCCTACAGGGTTTCAATGGTGCAAAATATGATTTATTAACCGCGACTGGAGAGGAACACTGAGCTCTTCTCTGACCCAGACCACACCTTGTACAGTGCTCCTTGCCTCTTGTTACTTGAAAGTTCATTGATATATTGCCCGAGACGAATAGCAATCCAGCTTAGTATTTACCCATAGGATTCAGCCACCTTCTCCACAGAACATTCTAATCCAAAAAAACGCAGCAATTGAAACAGCATGCGCGGGTAAAAGTCTCAAAAAGCCTCCAGCCCCAGCCAGGCGAGGCCTAGACACCGGGACCAGATGGGGTGCGCATATCTACCTATTTCTCCTTTCTTTGTAACAGTCGAGGTCGACTCGATCCAATCCACCATCTCTGTATCGGGTGCTGGGTACGCTCCGGAAACTCATCGGATGGCTTCTCCTCCATGATCAAGGGTGGGTGATGAGCAGGGCTTCGACCCTACCATCTGATCTGATCGTGGTTAGCTTCATGATAATGGGCATAGGGGGATGTGTTGAGTGATTAAGACGATACAGACTGCGGAAGCGATTGGGAATCCTCGTCGAAGTGAGGACTTTGTTACTCAATCTCGGCTCTGCAGACTCTAGAGTGAGAGCTGGAGGTTCGTAGGGGTCACCGTTGACTGGTGTTGAGAATAGTTACTCTCGAGTGTAACTAAATAGCAAGGATATTGCAGTTAGCTGGAGCTCTCTGAGCTCCAGCTAACGGACATGATAAATGTAACATAGTGAAATCCATTTATGTTGGGTTTTTGCTAAATGTTCAACTTTACTTCGATATGAAGCAAACAAACTTCTAATATTTCTGATCTGTAATTGCAATCGAAGGAAGCAATACAGTGGGAGCAATGGCTGCACAGCGGACATAAGTGTGCTAGCTGCTTATTGCTGGTCAAGACCGATCTGATGCACGAGTTGTGAACGATCGGGTCGAGGTTGATAAGGAGTGACCGTCTCGCGCCGCTAGATGAGGCCCATCATATCATAAATCGGCGCATGCAACAGATCTGAGCTGATCCATCAACCATACGTAAAGGGTTTTAATATCATGACCTGGTTTGAATGAAGATGGGCCACACACAAGTGTTCAAACCATATTTATGGGTGCAAAGATTCGTTCTAGCCATCACTTGAGCTACGTAGAATGCTTGCGGGAAATGTGCACTACCGTTTACTATAGATACTGATGTGCAATAAATCATTATCCCTCGGTGCCCTTGTCCTGGTGACACTGGGTGACGCGATCAAGTCTTTGTTTTGCGCCCGGAGATAGTATGTCCAGCCGTGTCAAGGCCGTGGTGCGCTGAAAGTAAAGTACATTTAGCGTCAAACGTTACGTAAGTCGAATCCAGCCCCAATCTACAGATCCTATTTGTTCGGTGGCAAGGGATACTCGCAATATACCGAACTTCGTTGCTGCAAGTCCAGATGCACCAACTTCAATTTAGCTTCATCTGAGACTCCACAGTCACGTCTAGTTAAACAACATATCTCGAGCGGATGAGCCAATGTCGGAGTCCACAATTTTTAAACCGGATAAAACGTTCCATCTTCCATCTTACAACCAGGAAAGATTAATATGACCTGGCCACCTCTACAAATAACCCAAATCACACCATGAAGACAACAAAATTACCCTCCAACTCAGTGCTCTTACAAAATGAGCCCATAACAGTTCACGAGAGAGAAATTATCGTGACTGGAAATACAGGAAAATACATCACTCTTTCGCTACAAACCAATTCTCTTGTCATTAAAAGCGAGTCTGGAAGTAAACATATACGTCCTTCCGTCCAAGGTTTGCGTGAAGAAGAATCAAAGAACACGAAAAGCTATAAGTGCTTTGGATTATGTTCTATTGGTACTGCTAGATTCGCATTGATGACTTAATATTCATCGCTGACTTCCATAAGGTGCTGCGGATCCTTGTGTGCGCGTGGTACCATTCTATAACATACTCTGGGCAGAACTAATCGGTACCAATCTGACAATACGCTATGCCTCTCCAGTTTCAAAGACTGTCGTTAAGGCCGCCATTCTCAAATATACGGCTGACTTCAAGCTTTGTGAGCAAGTCCAGGAATGGATTCAGGACCTATTACATCGCTCTTACGGTGTTTCTAAATGGCGAAAGCGCATTAAGGTCTTGGTGAATCCTCAAGGCGGAAAAGGAGCTGCAATAAAGATGTATTTTCGCAGCGTAGAGCCGCTTTTAAAAGCAGCCCATTGTCAGATTGATGTGGAGCAAACAACACACCGTGGCCATGCATGTGAAATTGCGGAGAACCTCGAAATTGAGGCCTTTGATGTAGTGGCATCATGCTCTGGGGACGGTTTACCTTACGAAGTATTCAACGGTTTCGGCAAGAGATTAGATGCAAGGAAGGCTCTTTCTAATATTGCTGTAGTACAAATTCCATGTGGAAGTGGGAATGCCATGAGCTGTAATCTAAATGGGACAAACAGTGCAAGTATGGCAACACTAGCGATTATTAAAGGTATTCCCACATCTCTGGATCTAATATCAATTACTCAAGGCAAAACTCGGACACTAAGTTTTCTTTCTCAATCAGTGGGAGTTATAGCCGAAGCTGACTTAGCAACCGAGCATTTAAGATTTCTAGGTGCTCATCGCTTTACCTACGGCCTTCTAAAGCGCCTTTTCAGGAAAATGACTTATCCTTGTGATATAGCTATTAAAGTGGCAATTAGTGAAAAGTCGGAAATAAAAGACCTATATAGGAATAATAAGATTTACCTTGAAAAACGGTGCGAAAATGGGGAATTAAACAACAAATATTTACACGTCGATGACACTTCCACAACCAGTAGCTATGATGATGGACTGCCTGATCTGGAATTTGGAACTGTGAATGATAAATTGCCAGAAGGGTGGGAATTGGTTCCATACGAAAAGCTTGGAAACTTCTACTGTGGAAACGTAAGTTCACAACTGTGATGGTATGGATTTGTATTAACCGTAAGCTATAGATGGCTTATATGTCACCCAATGCCAATTTCTTTTCAGCCACTCTACCTAACGACGGCTTTATGGACTTGATATGTATCAATGGTGATCTCAAATTACATTCGGCTATAACCATGATATCCGCCGTGGAGGACGGCACATTAATCGACAGACCTGAAGTTTTGTATCGCAAAATTCTTGGCTATAGAATTATCCCCAGAAACCAAGATGACGGATATATCAGTATCGATGGTGAGCGTGTACCATTTGCACCTTTTCAAGCAGAGATACATCCTGGCCTTGGAACTGTTCTGAGTAAAACCGGATATCGCTACGAAACTACTGGGGTCTTCTAGAGGAAAACCTATGAAAATCTGGTCTACAAACTTTTTATGGCGTTGTCTAAGCGAGTCTGTTCAAACGATATCCATCTTACAAGCAAGAGTTAATGAAAACTTCAGTCACGAGGTAGTAAGGCCTATTCCATTTAAGTACATACCGAGGTGAAGCTATGTACGTGATTACCAGTTACGAGTAACACTAATGATTTGTCCTGCGCGGTGGGCACATTTTATCATGTCCTGACAATATTCTATTTATAAGTTTGTTTCTGTCGTATATCATGAAGATGTATTACTGGTAATACTACTTTGATTAATGTCCATTATTTTTAGTGTTTTCGGCTCTGAAAAAGGTGCCTAACGTATTCAATTAGATTTGATTCCTTCTCAAATGTTTATATAGTTGCACGCCATTAAACATGTGTAATCATGATGTATTGAGATGATCGGTTTAAGAAGTTTGCCTGTTTTGTCCACGTGTTAACGAAGACAAATTCTTACTTGTTCCTCAATATAGAACACTGTTAGTCTTGGAAACCGTTCCATCCCTCGCTTGCAATGGGTTCTTCTGGAATGCTATCGGGTAGACGACTATCTTGAAGTGCTTCCTTCGCCTTAATTCGTACTGATTTTGTAGGGCTATGCTGGGCTAGATTCCTCAGGGGTTCTAGTATTATTTCTAATGGTGCAATCGCGTTTGGTTCGAACGCGCCCACTCGTTCAAGCTCATCGACGTAGACATCAATAACATGATAGCGCATTCCATTTGGTATTTTATAATCTTCCACATTACATGGTATATCAGATATCAATTTTAGTATTCGTTCAATCCAGCCTGCTTCCCATTCATTACGCTTTAGCACTTCCCAGCAAGCAGCAAGGTAGAGCCGAGTCAGGAGTAGGAACTTTTCCATTCGCAAGACATCGATATTTGTCCACTCTCTCTGCATTGTCTGCCAAAAGGCTTCCAGAAATGGCACAACAGAATTTGCAGGCAATATGTTGACGAGTTGTGCGAGTGATTTTGCGAGAGATTGTTGAGTTAGCGGCCGGTCTGCCATCCACAGACAGTAGAACAGAGCCTTCCACAGTTTGAGGAGTTCTGTTGATGGTAAGTCCCGGCGACCAGCGAGATATTTTCGTAGGGATACTAACGCTGCATCACGGGTAGGTTTATCTATTGCCTAGTGTGAGCAATGTTTTCTTTCTGGGAATTTATACTGTGCCGATTTATTTATTTTGACAGTGGATGCGTACCATTAGCAACAAGTTGCTTTATTAATGGTGAGTTTTGGATTTCGGGTGACATTGTAAAGCACCAATATCTCAAATGTAAATTTCTTTTTGTATGCTCTAGACTCAGTGCATTGACTCGTGTGAGTCTGCTTGGGAGTTTGAATATGGTGTTTGTCACGAAAGGAAAAATGTGGATCGTGAATAATATTTAATTCCCTGAGCCAAACAATCGAAATATTTTTTGGTAATCACGATTTTGCTCTGGGTCACAACCTGGGGAGGTGCGTTCGAAGTACGAAACTTACAGGGTTTAAGGCTCCTCTACGCTAAATCATTTTATGCGGCAACGTGCTTACCGATAACATCCTGGCTCTGTCATCAATTATTTCCAATTCACAGTGAACTCAGATATCTAGTTATGATACAATCCATGCAAAATTTAATCCCCAGATAGTTATCGAAAAAATCTAAACTATCTACCGAATTTTGTACCATTTCCAGTATAAAATCTAAATTTAATTACTCTATTGAGCTGTCATGCACTTTAATGTAACCAAATATTTTTGTAATGCTTCTTTTTCCCTCCTAATTCAGAATAGTATTAAAAGTGTCTTTGGCCACTGTACCCTTGAATCTTTCTCTTAGCAGTCTAAAATAAGATGCTGCACATTTTCATTAGCTTTACTTTACAAGTTGCAAATATTATCCGATATTTTGCCAATCACGAAAGAATAGACAGGCATTTCCGGCCTCCCTCGTCTTTGCTTAAAAGTATCCAGATTCAGTCTCCTCTTCGCCCTCGAAATTGAGATGAATTTACCCTGTCACCGGGATTGATAGTCTATGCTTGTAGTTTACAGTTGTTATTGTTGCTGATTTTTGGAGCCCTGAGATAAAGCAAAAAGCTCTACATCCTACAATTGGTATAGGACCGGTGAAGCCGATAAGGTTCACTGTATACAGGCCCAACTCATTCCGACCGCATGAACTTCCACATAAATGGTGGTGTTAACAGCACAACAAAAACCAAAAACCAAAAACTTAACTCAAAGACTAAAATCAAATTTAGAAGAAGTCCCGATTAGGTCCGGATCCCGTACTTCTCGTCTGTCCCCTTTCCTGTCGCATCTTCCAAGTGACAATTTCTAATCTTCGCTCAGAGCAGAAGATGAGCTCGCAGGCACACTCTATCCAGCTGGTGTTCTGCTATTAATTTGTTGAAGCCTCGATGACTTCACTGCGGCTCGCCGTAATCTTAAACCTCTTCGGATTCAAGGATTCCAAAATCCAATCCGTCTGACATATAGACATCGTTCTTCGAGCCGTAATTCGCCTGAATGGCTATTTCGGCTGCAGCTTTGACACGAGCATAATCTACGTGCTTTTCTTGCTCGACTTTGCGAATTATTGCGAGCTGCTCTTTTTTCACCGGGCCGAACTTGCTGGGTCTAGCTTTGAAGAACCGCGAATCTGATCGATGAGGTCCCCCACAGTTTTGACACCGTGTGGAGGTTTTGCACTCTGCTTCCGAGTGCATATTTGATCCGCAGTTCCAGCAAGCTGAAGCGTGGGAGCAACCGCGAGGGGCATGAAAGCTCAGAAATCGTTTGTACTCAATTGATTTTTCGACTAGGATGGAAGAGCTTTGCAGCTCCGGAGTCATCGAAGAGGCGGAATCCAGGTCGAGGTGTGGATTCGCGAGGGAAGAAAGCTTGCCAGTTCTGGTATGGCGCCCCGGGTTTGCTGATCCCATGAGGACGAACAAGAAAAGGAACTGATTTGGCCACCCGCGTAACTTCGTCGGCGACCATACTTTTCGGAACGAAAACGAAAACGGAACCAGTGAGTGTGTTAATTCTCACCGGGACGATGGCAATTTGTAGGGCAACCAGATTGATTCCCGATTCTCTCCGTGCTGCGGAGGAATCTAGAAGCTCTTTCCGAGCGAGTTCATCCTTTGCTGTCAGTACAAAGCCTGTTTTTACCCGCTGAACCTGCGTGATATTGTTGGATGCAGTACCAAGCACCTCTGAGACAGCTGATATTACGCCAGCTGGTGAAAGGACTCGTTGGGGTTGGTCTTGGGCGAGTCGTATTAATTATTAATATTATTCATTCATTTTATTGTCCTTCCTGAGTCTATGACTATGTACGACATGCAGGTCCTCTTTGCCTACAGGCCAAGGATATCTATACCAGTAGTGTATCCCATCCTATGTGTCCCATCCTATGTGTCCCATACAGCTCCCCTCAAATAGTACCACCCCTCACAAGTCCTCATTCGATTATACTCTTAGAGGAGCCCGTCGCCCTTCATTATCTGCCCTCTCCAGCCAACGAAACGATGGCCATTTGCTGGTGTATGCAGCCAGGAAAGATCGCAAAAATCACTGGGTGCGGAGCTCTCCTAATACCGACATTAGGAATAAATCCGAAGACATAGTGACCCTTCTGAAGCGTTCGAAGAGGCCAGCCAGCTGAGCGCTGCAGACTTGTGAGTACCTCGGGAAATCCACTCTCTGCCTTTCTAGCCTCCTTCAAACTCCTTTCCAAAGGTCGTGCTGAAATGTCAGAAAAGTCTTGACAGAGCGTGATTGCTGTATAGTAGCTTAGCCTGACTTCTTATGTACCGTCCAGAGCGCTGGGGAGTGCCGTTGACTCATCGACAAAAGAAGCCCTCCTGGCTAGTTAACCAAAATCTCGGTCTCGGCGCCCACAAACAATCCAAAGTTGAAAGTTCATCGAAAATATCGGTCTCAGCATGGTCTTCGGAGGCCAGTTCCATCTCAAGTTATTTGTGCCATTAGAGCAACAGTCCCCCACAAGCCAAGACCCAGGCTTTGTATATTTTGACTTGATTTCCTCCATGCGGGTATAAATAGCGTCGTAAACATGTAGTAAGAGATGGCTGGAAACTAATAGGGCAAGCTTCTGTTTGCATTTGAAGTAAATTCTTTATTAGTCGTTGAGGTGAGATGCTGCGTAGTTAGAAAGGGGATGAGGACTCAGATGAGAATGATAAGAGAGGCATTGTCGAGAAGTTGTCAATTAGAGATATGCTTGAGATTGCTTTCGACTTCGATTCGGATGCGATTCTTCTTGGTTATCCTAGATATGCAGAGCATACTGAGCGATTACACCGGCACCACTGGAAGGTGAGGAATTCGTCTTTACCGGCTAGGCGAGGCGTAGCAACAGTCGCGTGTGGGCCACTGTCCTCGTATTGGCTCCCTTTGTTGTTGACGGCCTAATGCTGTGGCCAAGGCCAGCTCGAGCTACTTTCGCCCAAGTAATCTTTTGGGCCGAAGCCTGGGTTGTCGTAGGGATCGGTACCCTTATTTCTTGAGTCTTCTATCGAGGAGGGTTGCTGGGGTGGGCAGGGAGAACTGGTGGAATGCTCCCAGGGCCTGACTGTTTGAACTGGCCAATGGCCGCTCGAAGGTAGACTTTTATACCGTCTACAAACTCTTTTTCTTCGCCAGTCGAGAGAGGCGAAAGTGCTGCTTCAACACTGCTTATTACAGTGGAAAATTTTGCTAAACGGGCCTTGATTTGCGTCGTGCGACGCTTTTAGGCCTCCATCAATGATTGCAACTCCGGAGGAAATTCCGATGCTGACATCAAAGCTGAGCCTTTGGAAGATGGGACAGCAAAGTTTCTTGCAGATGTTTCTGCGTGTTCTATCGTCTTCTCTCGGAAGACTTCCTTTCCTTTCCTAGAGGTGCTTGCTTCTGAGGAAAGATCGATAGGGGTTGTGGGTCACGGGACCAATTTCCACTGACCTGACAGGCTCAAAATCAGTCATCTCTTTATCGGGAAAGTTTGGAGAATCTCTTCGACGAAGGCCTTACTCGCAAACATGCTTGAAAGTTTCTGCGAGAGCCCTCGGGCGGACTCTCGAGTTGTCCAAGGTTGCGTTAGGGAGCTTTTTTTGAATAAGTGGCATATTCAAATTACTAGCGACTCGATCACAATATTTTGAGCCAATGCGACGAGCGCGAGAGATAGGGATAGGGGAAAGAGGGAATATTCTAAAATCAAAAATTTGTGTGTGTTTAGTGTGCCACTTGAGTCTATGACTATCTAGCACATTGGGCTCTTCTCTGACCCAGGCCACACCTTGTACGGTACTCCTATTCTCTTTTGTTTCTTCAGAGATCTTTGATATATTACCCTTGATGAATAGCCATTCAGCTCAGTGTTTACCCGTGAAATTCGGCCACCTTTTCCACAGAACCTCACATCCAAAAAACGGTAGCAATTAAAACAGCATGCGCGGGAAAAAGTCTCAATAATCCAGCAATTCTAGCTACGCGAGGCCTTGACACCGGGACCACATGAGGTGCGCATATTCATCTATATTTCCCTTCTTTATAACATTCGAGGCCGACTTGATCAAATCCACCATCCTCATATCGGGTGCATAGTACTCTCCGGAAACTCATCGGATGGCTTTTCCTCCATGATCAAGGGTTGGTGAGGAGCAGGGCTTCGACCCTACCATCTAATCTGATCGTGGTTAGCTTCATGATAATGGTGATAGGGGAATGTGTTGAGTGATGAAGATGATACAGACGGTGAAAGCGATAGGGAATTCTCATCGAATTGAAGACTTAGTCCCTCAAATTCGGCACGGCTGACTCGATGGTAAGAGCTGGAGGTTTTTTTTTTGCATCAGATTTTGATTGCGTATGCAGCTATCTAGCTATGACACTATAACAGAGAAGTGTATAATAGACGACTCAATTATAACTAGAGCACTTATGCCGCAGATTTTATTTGCAGGTATCCCTGCGAAGTTATGGTGGCTTTTTCTTCACCCCAAGTCAACCCTCATCCGTGAATACCCACCCGGGGGAGCGTCTCAAAAACCCTGAGTTGTCCAGACATGCCTCCATCATCTTTAAACTTTTCTCCGCGTAAAATATGGTCTTGGGCGTCTCCTTCCCAAGTGAAGTAGGTGCCCAGGCTACTCAGACTATACCGGAGAACACCACCAGGAGGCGGATCACAACACCTTCCATCGTCGGCTAGTTTTTATAGTGTCAGCTGCACTCTCGCAAGCAGAGTCTTGGCGCGCACAAAGCTCAATCCGTAAAACTCTTGCCAAAATTCGGAATTTCACGCCCTTCGAGGTTATATCCTTCCTTTGCATCATTTTTTCAACTTGTCCTGATCCCTCTCACGTCCATCTCAAAGGACTATCTTCCAGATTTGTGCGCCACGCTTTGCTTCCTCCTCCTTCGGGTATAAATATCGGCGTGGGCGTGTATTTGGTGGTCAACTGAGACCAGAGAAGGTCGAAGAGTGGTGTGGTCATTGGGATGAGGATGTACCAGGTCGTACTTGTAGACTTAATGAGACTTAGGTAGGCGTCAAACTCGTTGGGAGTGGGAAAACGCTGTGGTGGAGTAATTGAAAATTTTGACTCGTTGGCCAACTTCTTTGATATTGCGAAATTTGACTGAACTTGGCACTCGGAGAATATTTCACTCCCAGGTTCGTAGAGGGCAAGGCGCGCAGGTGTTGAGTCTTGCCCTCCCAGTAAATCATATGTAATAGATTGGAAACATATAAAATAGGCTTGAACATCTGTAGGCTAAATGAGAGCACCTATATAACCTGTACTCAGGGTCTAAGGGTTGACAGTAACGACAGTCTTAAATCCAAGTATTTCTTGATTAGGAAGAGGCTATCGTAAATTGTAATCGTGAACTATTGATGTTCATTTCGGGCCATGATAATACTTAAAATTCGTCTGCCATCCCAATATTGATAAATGACGGGGAAGGCTAGAACTCAGCCGTTAAATTCATGGACAACATCGTGATCCAACATAGCAGGAGAAAATTTATGCCGTGGGCGTATTTTCCGATATCACCCATGATTCGCCCTAGGACTTGCACTTTGCCTTTATTCTTATATGTCCAGCCGAACAAATTTTCCGAACCACCTTGGGCTTTAAGGTCTTCCTTCACAATCTTTTCCGAAAACACCCTAAGCTTGCGATGGTGTATCGCCATGAATTTTATAGCCCGAAGCAGCAGGCTAGTCGGCTAATCAGATGTAAAAAGTGATCGCTATGGCCTAGAAAAACTTTCATTGGCAGGATTTTCGTTTGCAGAAGTCTGAGTTTATTCTTGGATTCCCATCCGAATGGGACCTTCTTTCCTTACTCTATAATTGGAGCGAAAATACTTAGTGTCATGGCTGGCAAATGTTCCTCTCAGAATAGAATGGGATTCTAGTCATTACTAAGTCTATTGCGATAGAGGACTACGAAAGCTATCTTACAGGCTTTAAGTTAAGAGTACTATAAATATTCGATCTGTTCCTGATATTCATTTCGGACATGGGCGCAAGAAAAGAAATACAGTAGTTACATGGATATTCTTTTTACTCTTTTACACAGATCCAACTTACAGAAGCATGAAAACGAATTTTCATATCATGAGCGGAAATAAAATTTAAGCGATACAATCTGGTATCCCATCACAATGACACGATTCAGCTTTGTATTTGTTTTTAAGTATATTAAGGTGCTAGGCAATTGTCATCCTCCGCACTTCTATGAGAGCTTGAGTACGATTAGGACCAGCCTAGATCAGGTTAACTACCATACAAGTAGAATAAACCCGTCCCACCTGAATGACCGGAACACCTCAGACTTCACTCCTGTGTTGAACATGTAAAGTTCAACCAACCAGAACTGCTACGATTCCCCAGCCGATATTCAATTCAACACAACTCATCAATAACTACGCATCTCTATTGAATTACTACTTATTCTTTGATAAAGGATATAGCGCCCCTGGCCCGCGGTTAAAAGCGGGGCGTCTCTGTGACTCAGGACACGCAGGCTGTAGCGTCATCATCTGAACAACTCTCAGGTCTAACAACGGATATCGAGAACGAATCAGACTAGTAATCTACAATAGAAGAATTCCCACTTTTCTTAGCAGTACTTCAACAAAAAGATCATTAGACTCGCAATTTTTGATAGAAAACCTACGCGAGATAAATAACTCTGGAAAAGAGGATACATAGGAACAAAGGTCAAAATTAATAACAAAGGCAAGAAGTCTCTTAAACCTAGTCGGAACGTATCTAGAAGACATGGAGCTTAACTGTCTTAGGACTGGCGCAGGCTTCTTGACCCTAATATCTGATGGGGTCTCTGGCGCTATCCTTGGTGAGAAATATATACAAATTTTGACGCTGTATCACGGACCATTTCCACAACACCGTTAAATAATAAAAACACCTGGGCTGCAAGGATAATAGGAGGAAAAAATAATTCGGTAAAAAAACTCTAAGGGGGGACCACCAGAGGTTAAAATCATAGAGATAAAAGAATTATGATTCGTCTCGGGCAAGATCATGAAGCTTGTAAAGCAGAACCCTTTTTGCTACGGCAACAACTACAAAATCTGATATCAGACCTCCCTTTGGTTTCTGACGCTTAGCAAGCTACATCTGGTACAGCCTTGTTAGCTCAAATGCCGGCGAAAGTAGCGACCCTCCTACAATACTAAAACAAAATTACTCAAAGATATGGAGATATTGTTGCTGAAAGACAAGAATCTTGGACAAGCTTCGTACTTGGTCTTCTTCAAAGAAATATCACTACAATAGATGGAGCAAAATTTTTTCTTAATTGTCTATTTCTAGAAGAACCAGAAATATCCAGAATCCGTGATGAGGTACCTATCAAGCAAGTTGCATTGACGAAAAGGTTACTAGAATCAAAATATCATATAGAAAATATCAAAACAAACAAAAAAACGCACAATTCTAGAAATTCCAAGTTGCCCATTCCCACCCTATTATCCATCTCACCCATCATCCATCGAATCGAATTGTAATTGTTTGCCATCGGCGGCATTTTAAAATGCCTCCGACGCGTAGAACGCACCAAAACGCGATCAGCGGAATCACCAAAGATCGCGTCATCAAATCCTACAAATTGCATGAATCTATACTAACTCTTGCAAGACAAAAACTTACGGAGAAAGTATTAGAGGCCTCCGAAAAAAATTTAGACTACATCGAGGCTGCGCTCGAAGCTAACGTTCGCAATATACCCGAGGTAGAGATGTTGGACGTCGAAGTCCAGAAGTTGAAATCTCTATCAGATTCAAGATGGGCCTCCTCCAGCCCAGAAGACGCGGAAAAAGCCCCAGGGCCCGCAATAACTCCAAGAGAAACCGTCGCAGCACCCGAAAAGCGCGCTACGGTTCTAGCACTACCGCGATTTAAGGAAGTAAGGCCCGCGAAAAGGGCCGACGTACCTTCAACCAACGCAGCAGGAGCCGAAAACTCTTCGCTGGCCCCACCGCCTACAGCGATAGGAGCAGCAGGAAAAGAAAAAATATTCCCTCCAGAATTGCTTGCAGCGATGGATGCGGAGGAGCGCAGGGCAAGGCAAAAAGCCGCGCAATTTAATATCTGCTCGACGGCGATTAGCAGTGTGGAGGCAGCTCTTCTACCGCTCTCCACCGGTGAAGATAAAAATTTTGTAGACTCGATCAAAGTCTACCTAAGGGCAGCAATCGCACAATTCGTGGCGGCCGGGCTAAGCACTGCTCCGCCAGTACTACCTCACCGACCAACTGTCGCGACTCCGCCTGCGACCGTTGTCCCTGTAGCCATTCCCCGGAATATTTCAAAGGCTACTGCAGCTCTCCCGCTCAGAAGCACCTGGGCCACTGTCACCAGAGCAGGACACCAAAAGTCAGGATCACAGGCTCCTGCAAACATCACCTCGGTTTCGGCTGTTCCATCTGCCAGGAAACCGGAGAAGAAGCCAGCAGCAACAACAGCATCGAAAGATGACCGACTCTTCCTGCGTCTCGATGCAAACCACGAGTGGAGACAGCTCTCTCCGGCTGGCGTTCGCGAAGCCGTGGCTAAACATACGCAATGCACCCCGTCCGATGTCGACCAGGTGCAACGCGTTCCCACTGGCTTTGCCATCCGTGCCAAAAACCCGGATGCAAAAACTCGACTGCTGGAGGCCTCCAGCACCTTTACGCAAGTGGAGGCAAAACTAGAACCACCAAGTGATCTAGTTTCCCTCCGGATTGCAACGGTTCCAGTTGCAGTTTTCGGCTTAGAAGGACGAATCGAAGTCACTGCCGAAATGGTGGCCGCCGAAATCCTCCGAGTAACCAACTGCACTCCAGACCGAGTGAGGATACACGGAAATACTAAGCTCGGCGCTCCTTACAGATCCTGGGCGGCCTTGTTTCCCAGGAATGCTAGCCCAAAGCCTGGATTTCGACTCTTTGACGACTCAGGAGTAGCGACAATCCAACGAAACCGCCCTGCCATACAGCAATGTAGGCGATGTCTCGGCTTCCACGCCACCCGTGGGTGCTCTCGCGCGCCAGCCTGCTGGAACTGCGGATCTAATAAGCACTCGGAATCAGAGTACAAAGCCCTGACACGTTGTCGAAACTGTGGGGGACCCCACCGATCGGACTCTCGGGACTGCGCAGCTAGACCCAGAAAAGATTGACCGGTGACCAAAGAACAGCTCGCGGCAAGTCGCAAAGTCGAGCAAAGAAGATATGCAGCCTTTGCCCGTGTCAAAGCTGTATACAAAAAGGCCGAAGAGGCGATGATTGCCTCGGCGAGGAACGCCTCTGCGAAGGACGTCTCCATGGCGGAGGGATCGCGTTTCGGAATTCTGGAATCCGAAGAACAAGTTTGAGGACTCGGCAATCCTTGGTGAAGTCTACGACAGCTTTCACAACAAAAAGCAGGAAACCGGCCGACAGCAAAGGTTACCTGAGTGTCCATCTTTTGCTCCCAGCGGAGATTAGGAAAAACCACTTGGAAGAAGTGACAGGGAAAGAAACTGGCGAGAAGTGCGGGATCTAGACCACACATGAAATTCTTCTAAATTTGATTTCAGTTTTTTTTCGATTATAGTTTTGTTATTAACTTGTTGGAAATTCAGACTCTATGTGTCTGAAGTTTCCCATGATTGGAACAACTAAGATTCTCACACATGACTCACAACCTAGATGATTGATATCTCCCTTACTGAGCATGTTTGATGCTTGAGACTCGACTAGTGCATGGTATGGTCTGATACACGTGTAGGCTTTCATCCACTGACCCTGACCCCATACTCATATTGTATACTGCCGTGCGTTTCATTGTCATTGTTAGAGTATGGAACGAGTGATGGATGGTATCTAGTCTGGATTTGGTCTATCAAGATTACATGTATATAAGCTGTCTAAGAATCACTAAGACAGATAATCTAAATCAATTCAATTTTATTTAAACCATCTTTTACTTCTCCACAGTATATCACATATTCTCCCGATTCATATCATTATTATTCTATTCATAAAATCGCGCCCATATTCTTTGAGCCGCCTTACTCATCGAACCCATACCGGTTTTCCAACATAACTTCATCTACTTTTGTTGAGGTTCTCGCGGTTGGAATGAGTTAAGCCTGCAAGCAGTGATTCCCGCCGGCTCTACCAGTCTTGTACCGATAGTGGACCTATAGCTTTAGCTTAGGACTTTAATATAATAATAATAAAAAAGCGCACAATTTCCTCCACGACTGCAGCTACATGGAACCGCAGTCGTTATATAGCTTATCTGAGATAGAAAACTAGTAGCTATATGTGCAAAATGCCACAAGTTTCACACGACTCGAACATGTGCTCGTGAACTCATGAGCGAATTGTGCGGTAAAGAAAAATACAACAGTGTATGTATCCTCCAAGGATAGTGCCTTAACTGCCGTGGTCCACACTATTCCCTGAGTTTCTTCTGTCTAGTAAGACTCAAACGTAAAAATGGAGCTGACATTTGCGTTTTCAGTGCCCAACTCAGAAAAATTCGAAAAGCATATCGAAATCAGTTTCTGAAACCTCATCAAATATTAGAAAATTCAAACGCTGAGAGAGTAGATGACTCGAACTCTGCAATAGATTAATCATGGTAAGTAGATACAATCTAAAAGGAAAAAGTTGTATACGAATTACGCAAGCAAACGTTCGGAGAGGTACAAATGCGCACAGCAGAGCTCTTCATCTTACTAATTCAAGAGCCATGGATTTAATGAGACTTATCTGCAAAGCGGTCGATGACACATACAAGTTTCCTGACTTTTGCACCCCTCTCATAATGGAATAAACGCCCTAGGGCATTTACCTACGTTCGGAAAATGAAGAGACTACACCCTTACCAGACTTCTATAGATATTTCTGCAGATTTTGTATAAGTCGCTATGTCTGGTGGTCACGTTCAAAAACTTGACATGTACAACGTCTACAACGTCTCAGTGAATAGCGTTGGTTATGGCGAACGCTTTAAATAACTACTCGAAACCCATGGTACTCCAGACTTTGTAAGTGGTAACTTTAAGTTAAGACATCCATTATCGGGCTCTTCTATCATCTATAACTCTCAAGAAGCAACAGTCTTGATTCAATTGGCGGGGGATAAAGATCTCTACCTTTTCAACCCGACAGATGTCTCCACGCATGATAGAGGCGGAAATCTAGACCTCGCTTTTTGCCCTCATGCTGGCTCTAACCACGAAATTCCACTGGACCTTCATAAAACACCCGACCGCGAGGCTTTAGTATCAACTATACATCTGAATGATAAAGCAAAGCAAGATGGTGTCAGATGACTACGCTATATTGCAATCGATAAACACCTATTCGTTAGAAATTTGGGCCACATACCAGAACTTACAAATATTCAAACTGAGAAAGATGTCGATGTAGAGGCGGAAAAAATTGTGCAAATAATACAAAACGCTCTACTAGCTACCCACCCCCGCGCAAATGGTAAAAAACGGGTAACTAATCGGTAGAATGACGAATGTAGGAACTCTGCGCGTAGATACCAACAAGCTAGACGAAAAAATCACTCTAAAAACCAAAACCGTGAGCTTCGAAATGCGGCTATAAGGGCAAAAAAGGACTTCTCGAAGTCACGAGCGGAGCAATTACAAAGAATTCCTGATGTATACAAGGCAGTAAGATGGCATAACATAGCACCAAAGTACCAAACTCCTCCTTTAAAAGATCCTAATGGAGATACAGAGGTCCGGTGTCAAAAAAAAAAGCCTGCACTTCTGCACAGAATGCTTCTTTCTAGATAAATAGAAGCGATAGATATACCAGAGTATGTGCCAACTGTAGCAGCTAGAAATACTCAGTGATAGGCATTCACTGAGGCCGAGGTCTTCCGGGCCACGTGCCAGACTA